AGGTAACCCTTCAGAAGCAGTAATGGGAGTAATGATTCCCTGAGAGTATGGGAAGAGGGGGAAAGGGAGAGCTGATAGCAATGATGACTGTATATATTTGGATGGTGTAAGGTAAAGCAAAAGTAGTAATAATAATAATGTTCCCTAGGGGGGAAGGAGAGGAGGGAGGGGATAAAGGGGAGCGGATATCAAAGAGTTCTAAAAGAAAAAATGTTTTGAAACTGATGGTGGTAGCAACTGTACAATCATGCTTGATTTTTTGAATTATGGATTATTATATTTGTAACAGCTCCCAATAAAATGATTAATTTTCTAAAATGAAGGGAAAAATAATCAAAACATGGAATATATTGAAGTATGAATCTAACACAATTGTAAGTTTTCAAAAATGGAATGCTTGGAGATAAGCTCTCTTAAGGTACCAGTGAGTTAAAACAGACTGGTATTGGTCATTTTATCAGTCAGATAGTCATATGATCTACTATGCTGGGAATAAACTGAAAAGGGACAGTCTCATTATACCAAATACAAACAAACTCACTGCCTTTAAGTCAATCCCGACTTAACAGCGACCCTACAGGGCAGGGTGCTCAGGTGGGTTTCCGAGGCTGTAACTCTTCACGGGAGTGGATAGTTTTGTCTCCTTCGGAACAACTAGCCATTTCAAACTGCTGACCTTGAGGTCTCCAGGTTAGCAACCAAGTGCATAACCAGTATGCCACCAGAGCTCCCAGAGCTCATCATCTTCACTGTCAAAAAGAACATTCCAGATCTATCCTAACATACCACACTGTCAATGACAGGATAATGTCCATACACTTATGATGAAAGCCAGTTACTATGTCTATTAGTTACATTGACCACTAATGCCAAAGATGAAGAAAGTGAAGATTTTTACCCACTGGTGCAGTCTAAACTTGATCAAACTTTCAATCAAGATATAGTAATGATTACTGATGATTGAAATACAAAAATTGAAAAAAGAAAATGAATCAGTAGTTGAAAAATATGCTATTGGTAATAGAAATAAGCGAAACTACGGGAATTTTTTTTTAACAACACAAATGAAAGGGACTGTGCAGATGGAGCACACAGGCGATGATTCCACTACATCGATGGAAGAGAGACAACGGGGAAACTCAACATCATCGGTCAGAGCAAGGGCAGGGGCTGACTTCAGAACAAACCATCAATTGCTCACATACAAATTGAAGCTGAAGCTGAAGATAATTAAAACAAGTCTACAAGAGCCAAAATACGGCTTTGAATATGTCCCACAGGAATTGAGAGACCATCTCAAGTAACAGAGTTGATGCGCTGAACGAACACTAATGACCAGAGACCAGGTGAGTTGCAGGATGACATCAAAGATCGTGCATGATTAACCTACGAGGTCATTAAAAACGTAGGAAGAGAAGACAGAAATAAAAGACCAAAGAAGAGGTCAGAATAGACTCTGGAACTCGCTCTCAAACATAAAGAAGCTCAAGTGACTAAAAGAAATAAAGAAGAGCAAAACAGAAGATTCCTAAGGGCAGCTCCAGAAGACAAAACACAGTTATTATAAATGTATTGTGCAAGGACCTCGAGTTAAAAATCCAAAAAGAAGAAGAGCATGGTCAGCATTCCTCAAACTGAGGAAAATGAGAAAAAAGTCAAGCCTCAAGTTGAAATATTGAAGAATTCTACAGGAAAAATATTGGAACATAGGAAGCATCAAAAGAAGACGGAAGGAACAGAGTCACTGTAGTAAAAAATTTGTCATTCTTCAATGATTTCAGGAGGCAGTAACCAATGGTACTTAGGAAGTCCAGGCTGCACTGAAAACGTCAACCAAAAGAAGGTTTAAGTAGCGGCAGAATACCAACTGAAATGTTTCAACAAGCTAATGCATCACTGGGAATGCCTACTTGTCCATGTCAGGGAATTTAGGGGACAACTACCTGGCCAACTTACTGGAAGTGATCCACCTCTGTACCCACTCCTATGGAAGGGATCCAACAGAATGCAGAAGTTATCGAGTAATATTACTTACATGACAAGCAAATAAAATTTTGCTGAAGATAATCTGTAGTACATTGACAAGTAAAGGCTAGAAAACCAAGTCAGAATTTAAGAGAGGTCATGCAACATTGCTGATGTCAGACAGATCTTGGCTGAAAGCAGAGAAGACTAGAAAGATGCTTATTTCTGTCTACTAACTGTGTAAAGGCATTTGACCGTGCAGATCAGTATTTATGAAAATGGGCAATACCATCCCCTGGAGGGGTTCTGGAACAATCCAGAGGAGCTGGGAAAGATGAGACCTGCACTTCATATTGATTATGGGCTATAGTAAAAAGTTTTTCATTGCCAGAGGGATGCAGGGGTTTGGTTTGGTTTGGTTTGGTTTGGTTTGGTTTGGTTTCTGAAGAGGGGGCAGTAGGCCAAATATATTTGGGAACCTACAGTACAGACCATAACAAATTATAAACAGCTTTATAAAGAATAGGAACTCTGAAGTACTTAATTGTGCTCATGCAGAATCTGTACATAGGCTAAGAGGCAGTTGCTTAAACAGAGTAAGAGGATACTGTGTAGTTTAAAATTAGGAAAAGCTGTAGCAGGGTTGTCTCCTTTTACCATGCTTGTTCAATCTGACTACTGAGAAAATATGAAAAAGACTGCAGTATCAAGAATGAAGGGAAGACTCATTAATAACCTGCAATGTGCAGATGACACAGCCTTGCTTCCTGAAAGCAAAAAGGGCTAAAAGCACTTACTAAAGATCAAACACTCCAGTCTTTAATACAGATTACACCTCATCAAAAAAACAAAGATCCTCACAACTAGACCAATAAGCGACATAATAAATGGAGAAAAGACTGAAGTTGTCAAGGATTTCATTTAACTTGACTCCAGAATCAACGTCCATCGAGACAGCAGTCAAGAAATCAAACAATGCACTGAATTGAGAAGATCTACTGCAAAAGACTTCTTTAAAGTGATAGAAGGCAAAAACGTCACTTTGAGGGTAAAACTGACCCACACCATGATGTTCGCAATTGCCTCATATGCATGCAAAAGCTAGACATGAATAAGGAGACCTGAAGATGCATTTGAGCTCTGGCACTGGCAAAAAATATCCTCTGGTGGTAAGGACTGCCAAGAGAATGAACAGATCTGCCCTGAAGGAAGTACAGCCGGGGAACTCCTTAGAAAGGCGGATGCCACTCACTTTGGCCATACTGTCAAGAGGGATCAGTCCCTAATGAAGGACAGCATGCTTGGTAGAAGGTCAGCAAAAAAGACGATCCTCAAGGAAATGGACTGACGAATGGCTGTGGTCAATGGGCTCAAGCACAGGGATGACTGTGGGACCGGGCAGTGTTTCATTGTTGTACACATGGCAACTAACACAAAGGTACCTCACGACAACTCTTGGAAACTTAAATTAAGTTTCAAGTCAGCATATTCAGAGTTCTTGTAACAACAATCTGTATAAATGCTGCCAACGGTTTAACAAATGAATTACAAAAAAGCTTTAGCGTTATCCTAAAAGTATCCACAAACATCTGCTTATCTGACATGGCCATAAGTTGTTAGAGTGAGAAGGTATTTTATTCATGTCTGCATTCTCAGAATTTAACAATTTCCATACATGCCAAGGCCTTCAATTTTGGAGGGAGTAAAGGAAGAGGATAAAAGCATGTTCCAGGGATAAACTTGCTGCAGAAAGCACGATATTTTTCCCTGCCCCTTTTCCCCAGAATAGCTGATCAACCTAACACAAAGATACAAGAGTTACATTTTAAATCAATCTAGCAGTAACTGCCCCAAGAGATGTCATTCTATTTATCTAAATGTTTAATCCCAAATACTACAAACAGATCCTGCTATGAAACAAGATTAAATTTCTCCAGTCAGGTAACAACTGCGGTTTGATAAAGTCAACAATGTTCCACTGAACACTTAGCCTCACTGAAAGCCAGGTAAAAAATACCTGCCTTCAATGTCTAGTGATTGGAAAAATAAGATGGAAATAACTAACAACAGGGAAAGAATACAAGTAAATTGAATCAAAAGCCTACAGAAGGAATGACTTGGAAGCTGAATGGTTTTCGGTAATGGCAGCACAAATATTTGCAAGGCAAATATTAACAACTACAATGCATTTGTGTTTTCCACAGAGAAACTCAAACAGGAACCGAGCACACTGAATAAAACTGTGAGTATAGTCTCGGTAGGATCTGCTGTGTCCTCTTACCTGCAACAACTGAGATGTGTTCCACCTGGCATCGACATTCTTTTCCAGGCATTTCTTTAGAAAGTCCTTAAAATTTGAAGACCTTCAAAATAAAATTTTAAACAATGACATTCCGTTTTACTTTCTTATAATTAAAAACAAAGCTCCTGAATAAATTAGGCTTGTTACATTAATTACATTAATACTATTAATTCAGCACATAAAAGTGAAGTAATGGGAATATTAACATCTTATCATATTTTGCTCATCTGTAAATGCATGTTTCACATACAAGTTAGGCAGACAGTTATGTCATTAAACTAAAACTATCTATTCACAACCATAATGAATCACAATAATTCTCCTTAGGTATTAAATTCTACAAATATAGGACAACCACATAATTCTTTCTTAGAGATACCTCTTGGTATGCAAAACTCAAATCATTCGTAGTTTTAAAAATATACAAAAAGTTAATTATAAGAGATGATTGTATAGTATGTAAGTCTTGAAAACATAACAAAATTCCTTTACTAACTCAAATAGTCTTTGACCCATGGACCTAAATTTAAATATCCTTAGAAATTTGGAATAACAAAACAAGTTTTGCTGTTTAAAATCTTTGTATAGATTATGTTACCATCTTGATGGCTGTGCTAATGTAGGGGGCTCAGATTTTGCTATTTTTAGCAGCACCCGCATTGGATTTAATTCATGATGAGGTGGTTCTATCTCAGCCATTTCTATCAAAGTAACACCCAGAGACCAAACGTCAGCTTTGTAATCATAGGGTCTGTCCTTCGATGTTTCACACATGACTACTTCAGGAGCCATCCTATGAAGAGAACAAAATAAAAGCTAAGATGTGAACTGAAGATCAGAGATTGCAAACCACATAAAAGATATGAGCATCTTCACTTAGGTAGACAAGATGAGTGAGTCATAATAACTAGTGAATACATACCAATAGGGTGTACCAATGAAGGAATCTCTCCTTTGAATTGTCCTTGTGTTTTTAGCTGATACTCCAAAATCCGCTTGAAATAAATAATCATACAAACATTACTGACAGCTCTTATGTACAGTTCATTGTATTCTACAAGGGGCGGGGAGTGAGGCAGAATAGTGCAAGACTTTAACAAGGTAACTTTAGGTGACTAGGGGCAAAACAAATCATTTCTCTACCATCCTCATCTTGACAGGGTCTTATCAATGCCCCACAGCTCAAACAGATCTTTTTTACAAAGAAAAGATCTATCATCAGTTTGCCTTCTTTACACATCGTTAAACCACAAATTCTCCAAACTGAAAAAGAGTGATAAATTTAAGATGTAAAATTGTCTATCCACTTCAAAAGTAATGCCAACTGGAACTCTACATTTCTATTCAAATAACAGGCATAAACATTTTTTTCCTGTAGAATGGAAAACAGAAATCATACCAAAGTAACCTTCCGTGGCTGACCATGTGTCTTACTAAGTCCTCATAAAATTATATTACTGAGAGAAAAAAAGGATGAGGGGGGCCTTTTTTTCTCCGGTTTAAATTGGAGAAAACAGCAACACAATAACCTCATCAACAGCTAACCCCACCTTCTCAACTTGGAGTTCAGAAAACCATGATAGCAACATGAAGTGCAACAGCTTTGTGCTGTCCAGTGTACTCCCACTCCGAGCAAGCCCATGTGACAGAGGAGAAGAGCTCCAGAGGGCTTCTAAGGTTGTCTTCTTTATGGACACAAATAGCCAAGTCTTTTCTCCCAAGGTGATTCTGGTGGACTCGAACCACTGACCTTTCAGTTTGCAGCTGAGAGTTTTCACCATTGTGTCACCAGTGCTCTTAAAACACAATAAAATTTATTTGTGTGTGTGTGTGTGTGTGTGTGTGTGTGTGTGTGTGAGAATAAATATGAGGGGACTCCAAATCAGCTCACAGTGAAAAGCCATCGAGTCCATTCCACCTCACAGTGACCATTCTTGAAGGTAGGAAGGTCATATACATCTATATACTCCTAACAGGGCATCACAAGTGGAAGGTTCTCCTAAGTATTTATGACCTAGGAATAAACCAAAATTGCAACACTTTCATGTTAACAACTCAAAATAATTTTAGTATTCCAAAATCTTCAATATTAGTTTTAAGGTGTATATGCTATTTTACAAAAAAGTATACTCCTGTACTCAAAGAAAATTTTAATACATTTAGATTACACTGAAAGATGCCTGAAAAACATGCCCAAAAAGGTGAATCAAAACTTTAAGATACTATTTTAAATTGACCTATAAAATTTAAGAAAATCATATAAGATATGAAAGAGTAATACATGTCAGTTTGAAAACTCAGAAATGAGATAATTTAGTGAAGAAAAAAATAGAAATAAAGGAGAGAATCATTTGAGAATTACAAAAGTATCTGCCTGAAAATAATTTGCTAAGCTGTGACTGTTGTAGTTTTCTTTAAATGTGTTTATTTGACAATGAAAATGCACATCAAATTTTATCTCACATCATCTAACAGTTAACATCTGAGGTCATGACAATGTGAAGTAAAATGGCCTTTGAATGCTTTGTCTTTTATTATCCATCTAAATTACACAAATTTGCGGGGTTTTCAATATTCTTATCTTATGTGTTATTAAAGGGGGTTATTATAGCTTTGAATGTATACATATAAGATTATTTCCAATCGTAAGCCTACATCAAATTCTCATGAAGCCATCATTTATTCCCTCAGTGATAAACACGAAGTAAATTTCTGTCCTTATGTTTATTTTAGTACCTCTTCAAACCTAATGTTACATTGTTAGTTTAGTGAAGTTTTCATTTCTAGGGAGTACCTGGGTGTGCAAACAGTGAACAAGCTTGGCTTTGAACAGAAGTGCATAAGAATGGCCAGGCAATCTACATCCCAAAAGTGCACCACTGAAAATCCTATGAAGCACAGTGGTACTCTGACACACGAGGTCATCGTGAGTTGGGACAGACTCAACAGCAGCTGTGAAAACAGATCTGTGAGAGAGAATAAAACTGGGAGAGCACATTGAACATGAGTTTTAGAAATGAAAATAAAATTTGGTACAATGGAACCAGCAGTTTACACTCTAAAAAGGATTATATTTTTAATTGAGGCAATAGTCAAAAATTTTATGGGAAAAAATTGCAACCAGTTTTTTTAAAAAGCATTTTTGAAAATAAAACTCATCCTTTCTTACTTTCTTCTTAAAGTGTCTTTACATTAGGTAAAGAGCCCTGGTGGTTACACACTGGACTGGCAACCATAGGTACGCAGTTGAAAAGCAGAAGGCACTCCGTGGGGGAGAGAGGAGTCTCTCTCTACTGGAGTTACAATCTTGGAAACTAACAGGGGCAATTCTGCCCTTTCCTATATAGGGTCACGATGACTCAGCATTGACTCGATGGCAATGAGTTTGGTTTCTTGGTTTACATTAGGGTAAGGAGTGGTGGTGGTGGGGTGGGTTCGGCATTCAGCAGCCACTCCTGGAAGGATTAACAGTCTCAGGAACCATGCACGCACAGGGTCACTGAGTTGTTATGACTCGATGGCAGTGGGTTTGTTTGGTTAGTTTTAGACATTAGGTATCTGTACTTAGAAATCTTGGGAGTGAATGAGTTAACTATTTATCCAATAGAGTGTTCTACATTTTTAGCATGAAGAAATTCACTATGTTTTATCTATTTGGATATTAATCCCACAAGAATAAATCACATATCTATGGATGGAGGATCAGAGCATAAATTCAAGGCAAAAGTTTTATTCAAGTGAATACACTTACCCAATTTAATATCTCCATCTAAAGTAAAAAGAATGTTGCCCGCCTTCAGATCTCTATGGATGATTTTATTATCATGTAGGTAGTTTAATGCCTCTAAAGTCTGTTTGCAAACTACTTGTATTTGTGACTCAGTTAACGGTCTCTCGAGTTCTAGAAGAAAAATTAAATATATCTGCATTTTTATGTAATCACAATATATCAGCAGGCCACATACTTTAACCATTACTTCTCAAAGATCATATATTGTGGATTTATTTTAAAAGAACTATGTATCTACAAAGTTTACTTTCCTATGACATGAGTCAATATTTCATTCTAAAATCTTATTACAACTGCATGAGAATATAAAAATACAAACTGATTCAATTTACTGAACTTCATTAAGATTTGTAATAAATGTCTTAAATCTTACTATTTTTGTTACCTATATTTGAAATATAAAGAATTAAACAGTATTTACCAAGCATCACAGCGTCCACTGCTCCCCCGGCACAAAATTCAATGAGGATCTGCATGCAAACAAAGGAGCGTGTGTGTGAAACTAGTGAGTTTGAATATTGTTTTCCTTCTGGTTTAACACTCGAGATAAAGGAATAGCTATCAAGTAATCTAGACTATGGAAACAATCTTATGCTGAATATGATTGATAGAGGTTCAAGAAAACACAGAGTGCAAGTATGTGAATTAAATCTTAAAGATCATTTGTAGTATTACCCCTGCTTCTTGAAAATTACCCAGTACAGGTTTTTCACTCAGTACAGTATTATATAACCATTCATCATCAATCATTTATAAGACACTAATTGGGATTTAAGTAATCAAATACATTTAACTCTGAAATAGGATTAAGTCCTAAACATGCACATGCACACAGACTTTAGTTGCAGAAAAATAGAAAAAACACAATATACAAATGCTTCAGATCCCAGCTCTACTTACACTTCCTGATGGATGCCTCCCCAGACCTCATACAAGATATACTAGCACTGTGAATGGCTCATTCTAAGCTTTTATCAAAGTTGTAATTTTATATTTACTCTGTGACTCTGTGATTAATGGCATTCTGCTGCTAGAATGCCCCTCAAGTTTTTCCAGATTTTTATTTTGTAAAGACCTAAAATTGTTTTACGTTTAAATCACACGCAATCTTATTTATTAAATTGTCTAAAAGTCCTTTTCATGATAATCTCTAGAAGGATTCTGTGTAAGCCCTGGATAGCTATATGAGAAGGCACCATACTGATATAGACTTTTTTTTTATTTTAAGCAATGCTATTTTAAAAATTGTGAAGCTTCCGGTTCTTTTTCCATTTTTGCATAAATTATTTTTATAGATGGTTATGAATTAAAAATTATTAACTCATTACATGATTATAAAAATAATTTGATCACTAAGCAGTCACTACAGCTATATATATGTTTTTCATTTTGGGGAAAAAATTGGTGCAAACAGGCACCAAAATATTACGAATCAATTATTAACTAGGTAGTGACCTGTTCAGCATCAGTTCTAATTCAATGAAGTGGGCTTTTGAAAATATGGTCTTAGCTTCTCTCCTGGAAGAAACAAAGTGATATAAGAAACAAAGAATAGTAGGCAGTACAAAGAAGTTTACTTTATGGATCTTAGCTCTGCCAGTTGGCAGCTTAGATAAGTCACAATCTCTCTTTTTTTAAAAAATCATTTTATTAGGGGCTCATACAACTGTTATCACAATCCATACATACATCAATTGTGTAAAGCACATTTGTACATTCACTGCCCTCATCATTCTCAAAACATTTGCTCTCCACCTAAACTCTTGGCATCAACTTTCTTGGAGGCAAATTTTCGCATTTTTTATAATATTAGGGAAGTTTTCTTCAACAATTTTCTCAGTGCTTTTTTGTGTCTTCCTGTTCTGTAATTTTAATCACCGGTAAGTTATTCCTCATGATAGTATCCCACATCATTCTTAGGCTTTCTTTTTGTTGTTTTTTTTTTTTTCTGATTGTTCCTGTAGTATATTAGTATTGAGTGATTTTTCTTTAATCTCACTGATTCCGTCTTCCAATGGTTCAATTGTCTTCCTTTGCCCTATGAATACATTATCTATTTCTGAAATCTTAGTATTAATCTTCTGGGTTTCTATGTGCTGCATTTTGCATGATTTTTAATTTATTTGGTTAGTTTTTTCTTGTAGTGTTTTCCCAAATTCTTCTAAC